AGAAGAGAAGAAGAATAACAGAAGAAGACAGAAAACAGAGCATGAAGAAGAAGAACAGAAGAACTGAAGAAGAAGACTAGAAGAAGAAGAAGAAACTTACCTGTTTTGGAGCAGCAGTGGTCTGTCGCAGTGTCGTTGGAGTTCGCTGGGCTGGAGAAGAAGACCAGCGTATGTTTTGGTAACAGATGCCTTTGGAGCGTATGTTTATTTGCCCAAATTTTTAAAAGAAGCCCTAGCTTCAGCCTTCTGCTCGCTTAAGCGAGCTTTTTATCGCTTTTCTTAAAGCGTCGCTTCTCGCTTAAGCGAGAAAAGCGTGCGCTTTTCTAATGTGAGTCGTGCGCCTCGCCTCGCTTCATCGCTTAAAGCGAGAAGCGAGCGCTTTTAATAACCCTGGTATCAGGGTTGCAGGATAGGGGCTTCTAGAATTTTTCGTACTTCTGTCCCGGCGCTGGGGGGGGGGGGGGGGGTTTGATAGGGTTCTCCATAGATGATCTGTGTATTGTATTGTGCCCCCCTTATGGGGGTTACTGGTCGATATATTTGCATGCCATTTTATTTATGGTTTATGTTTAGATAATTATTTATGTGATTTCTGCTGGAGTTACTAATGCTTTTTTGCTTTTTATTTTTTGTTTTTGTTTTCCTTTTCCTTTTCCTGAGCCGAGGGTCGATTGGAAACAGCCTCTCTGCCCTTTCGGGTAGGGGTAAGGCCTGTGTTCGTATTACCCTCCCCAGACCCCACCTTGTGGGACTATACTGGGTAGTTGTTGTTGTTGTTGTTGTTGATAATCACACTTTGCAGATCATCAGGATGTTAATTATTATCCTAATAGATTTGATCATTTTATTTTTATTTTGAGAGAAAGTCAAATCAAAAGATGCGAAAGTACACTACACACCAGTGGGGAACTTTCCACTAGACGAGTAATCTGAATCCTTCTGCTTTTTCACTTTTCAGGGGATGGGGTAGGAAAAAACTCATTTTTTTTATTTTATCAAAGAAACATACCTGGTGCTAACCATTCTTTTGTAGAGTTGCTAGCTAATGGCGCTAGCCACAATATGTTCCGCAAATTCATCGAATCATCATAAGAGACATTAGATCCTGTGAACAATAAAAATCTAAATAGAATGAGAATAAAGAGCATCATTGTTGTATTTTTGAAAATCTCATTATGCAAAAACTTCGGAGGGTTAGAAACAATGATGGATCAAAAACTGCAAATAGTAAATAAAGTTGGAGAAAATTCAATTCAGAACATTCAGTTGATCTCTGAGGAAGTGGTCAAAGCTGCAGACTAACCTATTTGGCAGTAGCCCATGTTGTAAGGGAAGATTTCCTTATCATATGCTGGATACTCCTTAGCATGGAACCTGGAAAAGTTTTGCAGTGTGAACATCATGAGCATCTCACACAAACAAGAAAAGAAACCAGATATAGAAACAAATAAAAAGGAAAAAAAAAAACTTAGTTCGTATGGAAAAAGCAGCATTCAAGAAATTCCAGTCAACAAAACACAGAAGAAAAAAGAACAACTGTATCCATGGGTATGAGTGGTTGGATGACGGTTAGAACTAAAATGAGTACGTGTTAAAACATTTCCACTGATTTCGTGTTTCGGATTACAAGATTAAAGGAATTTAGATTCCCTTACCTTCTCTTACTCCCTACTAAGCTAACAAACAAAGGTTCCCCATGTCATATTTAATTAAACATAGAGAATCGATAAATACTCTTAGGTTCAAGGATTCAAATACTTCCTCCTTCCCTTATGATAAATAGGTTTCCTCGAAAACGGAGAAGAGCAATTAACTTACTGATAACTATATAAGCACTTTCTTTCGTATTGTAAATCATCAAAAATTACACTCATTAATGGCATAGTCTAGTGTATGAAGGTTCTCCATAGAGCCAAAATTAGAGAAGCTGCTAAAAATAAGTGAAGCCCCTCCATCCCCCAAATTACTTAGTCCAACTCCTAAAGCAATCTGGAGAATGAATTGAAAATTCTACTTTTACAACTAAAAGCCTAACAGATTCCCATCTTACAATCTGGATCTCAATTAAGTAGAAGTTATAATGATGCATGAATGAATACCACTCATGGCTCTTTGCCCTTTATCTAAAACCTAGCGCAGTTCTCCTGCTAGAATATCAGTGCACTCATATTGCTACCACAACAGCAAACACCATAAAGCAACCCAAATCATAAACCAAGAAACCCTTCATTCATCACCTAGTCCTTCGTGGACATCAGAGATTGCGGAGAGCAGCAAAAGCTCCATTTCCTCTGAAAGTATGCAAACGAAGATCAACTGCATAACATACTCTTTTTTGAAAAAGGATCAACTGCATAACATACTTAAGTTAAACAAAGAAGAAATCCATTTAATAAAGTACCACATACTCTCTCATGGATACTGATCAACAGGCTTCACTTTAATAAAGAATTTTATCCATCTTATTACATTATTAGCTTACTGAAAAACACAATGGCTAGATGATAGCCTTACCTACTGCATTTACTCATTCCTACAACTGGAAAGGAAAATTAATATGTTACAAATGATGTTTTATGTCAAGCATGCAAGTATCAAATGACATGGAAGATCTACATTCGAACTATAGGCCATAGCAAAAGCAGTATAATACAGTTTCGAGTCTTGAACAGGTAGTCATTTCAAGTTGAATCAGATGTGTTATGCCTATTCTCCTTAGAATCATACTGCAAGTAACACAAGTTAAATATATTCAAGAAAATACGACAAATTTGGTTGAATTTACAATATGACGCAACAACCACAGATACTCGATCATATTGCCTTTTTTATCTTGCTTTTAGCAGCTAGATTTGAGTTCTACTAAATCTGATGTTCATTATCTCCCTGCTGCTTATAAGATGGATTGAAGAGTTCAGGGCTTCAGGCTATAGAGATGCAATCACGAATCAAGTTAGACGAGCATCCATCATATTCTTCAATAGGTTAATGGGCATCTTGTCCAGTTTTCTCTAATCCTAGTTCACTTCATTATTTACCAGCAGAAGAAGTAAAAGAAACATTTAAAGAAAGAACATCCTTCCATATATCCGATTAGCTAATCAATTAAGTGCAAAACAACTTTTATTTGCAAGGCCGTTTACAATTGAAGAGTTCTTAGGGTCTGCCTTTTGTGGAACACTCACAACAGAAGCATCATTTGTCTCATGGTGTGCACGAGACAGTAAGGGTTCATGTCAACTTACAAAATCCCAAGCCTTCCAGACTCTCTGGCAAGAAAGACATGACCATGAAAGAAGTCAAATCGCGACAATGATGTATTTAGCCCTACACTGGGTCCCCGAGCAACAACCATTTCAAACAAAAACTCAAGGTATGAATTTATCTCCTACAAAACAACAATTAAATTCAACATCAAACAAAAACCAAGAAATCCTCATTTCAAGAGGATCTAGAAGTTTTTAATGCTGACCTCATTAATGAAAACTCTCCCATAAGGAGTTCTAGTAAGTTCACATCGGTCTTCCTTTGATCCTTCAATGTCTGGAACCTGCACATCGAAGAGGAATGCACTTACTGTCAAAAGAGCAGACTAAGACAAATGAAGGGGAGGAGTGCACTTTTATACATTGCTATACAGACCATATTAGTACGGGATATCTTAAAGTTTTCAGATTCACACGAGCTGAATTTGTCTCTGTTTTTGCCTCTAAAATTCGTTCATAGCACAAGTTAGGGTGAGATATTTTGGGTACTGCATTTAATAATATTGTACAAAGAGTGCACCAATTAAAATTCCAGCTATATAGTAATATGTGAATGGTGGCCAACGCTATTTGTCAAGAAATTGCATGAGGCATTACAAAAGCCCAAAAATGTACATATCCTTTGTTTTTACCGTTTGTGGTTTACAAACTCTACTGACACAAGCCTAAGCTTTCATGACAAAAGAAGATAAAGTTAGAACTATTTGTTGCATTCTTATTTTTTTTAAATAAGGATTTGTTTTGCAATTTTAATTATGATAGGTATTAAAAATGAGTTTGTGTTAACAGAACAGTGTTGCCTGAGCAAATAATGCAACAACCTTAAAAGCTTTTCCTCCAAATCAGGTTCTGAAGATTTGCACTTCTCCGTTATTTGTAACTCCTATCAGTATGAGCTATCTTAAAAGCTTTTAGATTGTCACGAGCAAATAGTGTCTCTCTTTTCCCCTCTGAACTTTGTTCCTAACAAAAGTTATAGGCTTTGACTATTGCATTTTAATAATATTGTACAAAGAGTGCACAAATTACAATTCCAGCTATATCAATAAGTGAATGGTGATCGACTCTAATAAGAGGGACCCCACATACCTCTACTTTTGCCACCTTGAAGAAAGTCATACACTCTTTGCACTCTTTTTGTAATCAAATCAATTCCCATTTCCCAAATTTGTTAGACTCTAGTTCCTTACCAGCTCTGCGCTGCCATGCTAATATTTAAGAAACCCATAGTCTTCCCATGCCGTGCCCTTCCGCCCATTGTCATCCCCACATCTACTTTTGAATTTTTGCAGTTATCCATTGTTTTACTCGAATCAGGTTTTCTGAATATTCTCACTTCCAATTATTTGCATCTTATTTTCAACTTTATCCGTTGCATTATGGAAATCTCGATAAAGAGGAACAATATCATTGCACTGTATAAAATTAGCTGATATAATTGGCTTTTTCCCTTTGTGAGAAAATGAATAACAAATGCCTTATTATTTCGACGAGCTAGGCAGGAAATCATATAGTATCCTGACTGTAAACAAATTTACCAAATTCCGGTACTTCAAACATAATTACAGGTAACTCTCTATAGTGAGCTATGCATAGTTAGTCAGAAAAATATGGTAAGTAACACGTGGTAACTAGCTAAGATACAACCATAACGTAAATAATGATTGATTAAACTACTAATGTAGATAAGTAAAATCCGTTACATAACAGATTGTCAAAATGGAGACTGGAGAGACATGAAGAACTCACAGGGATGACCGCTGGATCAAGAGTCCAATGAATAGAACTAGGATCACCGCCAGAGTCAACGGCGAGGCGAGCCAGCTCCATCACCGGCGCCGGAGGCCACCAAATAAGCTCATTCTCTTCGATTACACTCCTTCGATTACTCAATTTAGAACTCAACGAGCGTCTATTTGGAGTCTGAGAAATCGGAGAGAAAGGGACGAGGAATTTGAGGCAAGAGCGGAGCTGGCGGGCCTCTTGAGAATTTACAGCTGAGGCTTGTTGAGGTGGGCCCAACAGAGCGAGCAAATCGGCGACTGAGGCCTTGGGTACGGCGGATTCCGGCGGCGAGGCAGAGGAACGGAGCTTGAGCTTGCGGAAAGAGTAAGGAGGAGTGAATGTAACAGTGGAAGTGGCAGTATATGAAGCGGCGAAAGAGAGGGAGAAGACGAAGGCGAATTTGTAAGAGAACAATGGCTGATTCATCTTTCTCCTCCCACGAAAATTGGAGTCAACCTAAAAATGGGCTTTGAATTACGCATTAACTTATAAATGCATTTGTAAATGCGACTTATATAAATACAACCTATAATTCCTAATGCGAGTAACTTGTAGAATGTGTTTCCTCTTTCTTTTTTTTTTTTTTTTTTATAATTTAAATTGCATGCTTCGAGTTTTTTCCATACTCAGATTCCCCTTTTGGACTTCCTTATTTGCTACATATAAATTTTCTCTTTAAAATTTAAATCTTCCTTTATAATTCTCCGATAAAGTTAACTTATAAGGAAAAAAAAGGTTTAGAGATATTAATTTTTTTAAGCTGACTATTTTTGTACTGGGTATCATTCTATTACAATTTAGAATTATCCTTCTTTGTTCAGGAGACCTTAATATATGTGTGACAATTCATTAGAATTGCTATATATACCACGAACCCACAGCACGAGCACAGTATTGCGATGGAATTTGCTATTCACTCCTCAAGCCAATTAAAAAAGAATAACAACGAACCCTGTAAAATCTCACGCGTAGGGACTAGAAAGTATAATATGTAAACAGTGAAACCAATTAGAAAAGAATATAGAAGGTAATTGATTTTTTTAGTGGAGGCGCTCAAACTTGCTGCTTGCCAGTTTCTCTAGCTCTGCTAGCTTTACCATTTAGAAAACATAAGGCCCGTAAACTGAATATACTGTACATTTAACGAGTTCATGCTCGTTTTGAGATATGATTCATTCTTCCTTTTTCTTGAATTGGTCTGGTCTTCCTGGCTTCTTTAACCGAGACATTACTTTCTCATGTTGTGTGTATAGGTCCAAATTTGGACGACCACGACCACTACTGAGTACGGCGAGGAACGAGGTCCTTACGATGTAGCGTCCTTTGGTCGTTATCAAGGGTGACGATCGACAGTGGTTAGCGAACGCACGATGTTTGCAGTAGTGTAAGCGTAGTAGGAGACAGTAGGAATATGCTTTTCGAATATTTTTATGTTATAACCTTTAGGGTTTAAAAGGGGATTGTCCCTTATAAATAGAGGGAAAACACTTTGTAAAGAGGGAGGAGAAAGTGGATACAAAAAAGACAACTTTGCTTACTGAATACAGATCTGAAATCCATACATCATCTTTTATCTTGGCCAATCGCATTCATTACAATATTTTTCTACATTTGAAGTTATAAATTTATGAGTAATCATTTGGTTCCGACATACTAGGAAGCATCATTCACCTTGTTCTTCTCTTACATCATTTAATCTAGATTTTATTATACCTGGCTGAGATTTACCTATTCATCTTCATTAATTGATTTAATCAAAAAGGTTTCAATATCTTTTGGTCAAACAATTTGGCGTCTTCTATGGGGATTTCTTTAGCCAAGATCTTAGTTTCATCTAGATCATAAAGAGGGATAGTCACCTCTTCCTAGCTTTGCATAAACCAACAATGGCGGGAAAGGGAGATGCAAGGTTAAAAGCAATAGCAGGTGTCTCAACCAACATCCTGGACTCCATCAATGAAGACGGTAGGGAGGATAACGAAAACATGACACCGAGCACTACACCTAGGGGAGACACCTCACCTCCCCCGCATGGAAGCATGACTGCTTCATGCGAGAAGGAAGCCTCCACATCTGCAACAGGAGAAGCACCACCGGCCGTGCAAAGACTATTAGAAGAGTGGCTGACAAACACTCTGAACAACATATTTGATAAACCCGTTCAAAGGGATATTAGAGGCACTACACACTCAGATGCCGCAGTAATTACCAGCGAACTAGATACCCCACGCACAGGTAACACTCATAATGTTATTGATGCAAGTAATGACGCACTCGCAGCCATCCTAATGAAAATGGAGGAAATGGAAAATGAGAACAAGGCGCTCCGTGATCAGATGAAGGAGCATCAGGAAAGGGTTGATAAAATACCACGCACTTCGAAGCTGTTACCAAAACGGGACGTTGGTCGATTTATCGAGCAACCATACAATGAAGAGGCAGCCCCACACGCCATTCCAAAAACCTTCAAAATGCCACCGTACCTGAAGATATACGATGTTACTACAGACCCGGAAGATCACATCATCCACTACGTCACAGCCGTAAAAGGCAACGATATGTCGAAAGAACAAGTACCATCGGTGACGCTGAAAAAGTTCGGCGAAACCCTGACAGGGGGAGCTCTGACTTGGTACTCGCAATTACCAGCAAGGTCAATATCAACATTCGAAGAAATGGCACACAAGTTTGTCACCGCCCATGCAGGAGCCAAAAAGGCAGAAGCTAGAGTAAACGACATCTTTGCCGTTAGGCAGATGCACGGCGAGGGACTCAGGGACTTCTTAGCTCGATTCAAAAGGTTGAGAATGAGCTTTCCAAATGTGTCAGGGGGGATGGCGGTAGCAGCCTTCCAGAACGGACTAAATAGGAACGGGTTGAGAGCGACCAGAAAATTATAAATGAGGCTCATGAAATACCCTCCAACCACTTGGGAAGAAATCCACAACGCCTACTGCGCCGAAGTAAGAGCCGACGAGGACGACCTCAACGGTCCGATCCAACGGTTGACGTCAGTTCAAATTGAAGCAAGGAGAGATCGTCGCAACGACGGTCGAAGAGATCAATCGGGACCCCGTTTCGGCCGAGAAAGGCACCAGCCCTACATCAGGACATCTATCCCACCCCCTCCGCGGCACACAGATGCTCCTTCTCGACATGCAGCGCCACATCGGCATGAAAAAGGTATGCCTCCACTCCTATCTGCTCACAATTTTTGTGTCTCTCCTTCAGAAATAGTGTACGCATTGGAGAAACTTGGTACCAAGGTACAATGGCCGCAAAAGATGAAGTCCGACCCAAGCACTCGGAAATCGAACGCTCTCTACGAATTCCACCAGGAAAGGGGTCACAAAACCGAAGATTGCATAGGACTGCGGCAGGAGGTAGTGAGAATGCTAAATCAGGGACACCTGAAAGAATTGTTGAGCGATCGAGGACGGGCTAACTTTGCCCCCGGACGTGAACAACCCCAGGGACCTCCAAAACCGCCTTCTCCCGCTCGCACTATACAGATGATCATCGGCGGGGGAGACGACATAGCAATCAATCATGTAAAGTTCACCACCACACATAAACTCAAATGGTCGATCACTCATGAAGGGTATGATGACCTCGAAGATAGTATCGTCTTCGATAAGTCGGGTACCGACAGTTTGTCTTTCCCTACGATGCTCTTGTTATCACTTTACGTATTGCAGATACTGATGTAAAAAGAATAATGGTAGATGACGGGAGCGGCGCGTGTATTATCCATCCGCGAGTCCTCATACAGATGAGACTTGAAGATAAAATAATACAGCGTTGTGTAACACTAACAGGTTTTAATAATGCAGTCGAGCGGATTTCTAGAGAAATAATGCTACCCGTCCTAGCCGGAGGAGTCACCCTGGAAACGACGTTTCACGTCATGGACCAAGATACAGCCTACAACGCTATCATAGGGCGCCCGTGGATACACGCCATGCGAGCAGTCCCGTCCACTCTCTATCAAGTAATCAAGACACCCCATGGCTAAGCCATCGCCACGAAAGAGTTCGACATCATTCGAACCACAACGGGTTAAATTTTTGACATTAAGTCGAAATAACACCCCATGGCTAAGGTCATCGCCACGAAAGAGTTCGACATCATTCGGACCACGACGGGTTAACATTTTGACATTAAGTCGAAATAACACCCCATGGCTAAGGCCATCGCCACAAAAGAGTTCGACGTCATTTGAACCACGACGGGTTAACTTTTCAACATTAAGTCGAAATAACACCCCATGGCTAAGGCCATAGCCACGAAAGAGTTCGACATCATTCGAACCATGACAGGTTAACATTTCGACATTAAAGTAGAAATGACACCCCACGGCTAAGGTAGTAACCAAAGGAAAAAGCTCTACATAAGTGCAATATCGCTCGAAACGTAATAGGTAACAGTTCGACAACTCGAGATAAGTACGACTACGACAAAAGACGTCGCCAAATAAACAAACACGGCAAGAAAACAATTCAGAGGTACACAATAAAAAGTAATTGCTCCATTACAGCTGTTATATTACAAAAGCTTTTTTACAAAGGGCTCAAGAACGCCCTCACAAAAATGGCGAAGCAAAAGTAAATACAACCGAATACTACGCCACATCATTCCTTGTGGCATACACCTCCTCGTACCAAGAATCGGAGGCAAGTTTGTCCCCGCATCATCAGAATTAATATCATCCCCGCTAAGTGTGATGGGATCATACCCGCATGCCTCACGAGCCGCACGGGCCTTGGCACGCACATCCTGAAGCTCTGCCTCGGACGCCCTCCCATCGTCATAAAGAGCCTTATACACATCGAATCGGGCTTCAGCATGAATCCACAGCTCATACAAATGGCGAGGCACGACAGGATTAGCCGAAGCATGGGATGTAGAGGGCTGCGACTGACGTCGCACGTCCTACGTCTTCGAAGAAGCCACTTGTTCATTTAACGCAGACAATTCTGCCTCCAAATCTTGAATACGTCCCTCAAGTCCCGCTACCTTAAGCGCAGACGCCTCCACCTCCTTGTACCGCTCCACTCTACAAACACGGAGGGCGTCTTCTAAAGTCGCTGCCTCAGACACGGCAGTTGCCCTATCCCTTTCGGCGTGGGCCAATCCATCAGCATTTGCGCTCAATTCACTCTTAAGTTCAACGACCTCCGCCGCCTTCGTGTCCAGTTCGGCAGTTAAACTGGCCACCTTTGCATGGAGGTCGGCATTTTCGGCCATCACTCCCTTGTTTAGCTCAAGCTCATCTTCCCTGACCTTAAGGGCCGCCTCAAGCTCACTACAACGGGCAATGGCCTTCATAAGGTCCTCATCTCGCTCTTTCAATTCTTCGACCTTACGCGCCAATTGATCCTCCCTCTGCTTAAGCCCATCGCGGAACAGCTGAAAGTCGCGATCCTGAGTGAAGATGTCGGCCATCGCACGATGCTTGGTGCGGTATTCTTGATACTTAGAGGACATCTTCCCATAGACGGCCGTCCTCCTCCTTTCCTGACGCTCACGCTCGATCTCCATGATGAGGGACTAACATGAAAAACAAAGTTAAAACAAAATGATGGGCCAAGAATAGTAAAACAGATCCAACGACGAAAAGAAAAGAGAGGCATTGACCCGTAGAGCCATGACGGAAACGCTCCATGATAACTCTGCATCACTCATCGCTCTAAGTGCCTCGCTCTCAGGAGCAGCACATAAAGGGGCAAAAACGGACGCCACCCGATCACAGTTCGACAGCAAGTCGTAGTCCCCAGGGACGACTATGTGTCGATCAGAATCCTCCGTTCTAACCTCTACGCGTGTGTGACGCTCCAAAAATTCTCGAACATCCCCTGGGTCGACGTCCAAACCCGAGTCGTCGCCTTCGGCGCGTAAGCGGCCTCCGACAGTAGATGATGCGCCACCCTCAGCGGAGCGCACAGACCCCCATCCTTGGTATACTCCTTCTGTCCGGGGAGACCTCCCCGCCAAGATGGCGTCCACCATAAACGCGGGCACAGGTGCCATCTCCGACACACCCGTCCTACTCTTACCAGTATCAACGGCCACCTCTTTCCCGACCTCTACCCTCCTGTTTTTTCTCAACGGAGGTTCGTCCCTATTAGAGGACTCATCTACGAGGTGATAGACCGGTAAAGAGGAGATCTCTTCCCTCACAACCATATCCCGAGAGGAGTCTCTCACCTGTACCGGCTGAGCGCGACCCTCTCGGACGGACTCCTCCAAAGTAAATTGCATTCCCGCCGAGGCGATGGCCTGGAGAAATGCAGGGACTGGGGCCCTCCGCCTAGAAGCTCCACGACCTGTCATCACAAGGAGTCGTATAAATAGATAATGGCAAATAGCCGTATAGCGGTATAGAGGAAAACACTTACAGAATGAGACCTTCGGCCCAAAACGTTTCACAAAAGCGGGCCAGTCTCGAGTCTCCACTGCGTGAAGCAGTAAACAGGGCTACCCAGTCCCTTATACCGGCGATGGGACGGGGTGTATGCCCCACAGCTGCAAAACAAAGCCGCAGATAAATACTAAGTTAAAAAAAGAAAGTAAACAAGTTACGACACCTACGATTATCATTCCACCGCTCCGGGAATCCAGCGGGGTCCGACACAACGTGTTTAGTTCTGACAAAGAAATATTTATGCCAAAATTTACGGCTCGCCCGGTCGTCAGTTCCGACCACAAGCTCTTTGGTCCCATGGTGCCTCAAATGTACCATAGTACCCCTGTGAAAACTAGGGGAAAACAAGTGCAAGAGGTGGTGAATGTCAACTTCGCACCCCGCTAACTCCGCGTATTTTGTCAACACCAAAAATATTTTGTGCGTGTACGGAGAAAGCTGCGCCGGGCAAACCTGATAAAATCGATAGAATTCTTCTGCTAACGGGAGAAGGGGGAAGGAATGACCAATCACAAAGGGGTATTCATAAAAAGCACAATACCCCGATCTATGGACCTCCACGAAGTCCCTCCCCGCCGGAACCATCTCGACATGAGGGGGAATGTTGTACTTAGTACGGAGGGCATCTATATGGGCCTGCTCAGTTTCAGATACTACCGGAGCGGGAGTAGGAGCAGGCTCTTTAAGGAAGTCACTTCGAGACATGGGGTGTCTCGGTAGTAACTCATCCACGGTGGGAAAACTGTCCCCTTCCTCCACCGTCATGTCCTCACCACCAGAAGGAAGCGCCATGGATAATGGGGTGGCATCAGAAATCCCCTCACGTGACCGGTGTGTTCTAGGCATATCTATGGCAGAAGATATGTTAATAAAAAAATAAAAAAAACCAAGAACGGCGAACGGAAGAGAGAAAGCAAAGAAATCGCAAGAGCAAAGCTGAAGATATGAGAAGGAATAACCAAAGAAGAAATGGCCAAGAATTTTTGAAAAAACAAACCCTTCACCTATTTATAGGGTTGGGTAGTGCCAGAATCGAAGCGGAAGGCTGCCAATGGCACCAAAACCGAAGCGACAAGCCATCAGTCTCTATCTCGGGAAGACGCGTAATGATGACGCACGTGGAAGTGACATCATTTCCCGATAAGACACACCACCTAGGATATCGTGTAGCGCACTACTCTTCTGTTGTTAGTCAGACCGTCACGATTCGCAAGCCAAATCTCTCTGCAGGTATAAGCTATGTCCGCTTATCAAGGACGCACCGGGCCGCAACCTCGACAAGCGGAGGGACTAACTGTATAGGTCCAAATTTGGACGACCACGACCACTACTGAGTACGGCGAGGAACGAGGTCCTTACGGTGTAGCGTCCTTTGGTCGTTATCAAGGGTGACGATCGACAGTGGTTAGCGAACGCACGACGTCTGCAGTAGTGTAAGCGTAGTAGGAGACAGTAGGAATATGCTTTTCGAATATTCTTTATGTTATACCTTTTTAGGGTTTAAAGGGGGATTGTCCCTTATAAATAGAGGGAAAACACTTTGTAAAGAGGGAGGAGAAAGTGGATACAAAAAAGACAACTTTGCTTACTGAATACAGATCTGAAATCCATACATTATCTTTTATCTTGGCCAATCGCATTCATTACAGTATTTTTCTACATTTGAAGTTATCACATTTATTAGTAATCATTTGGTTCCGACATACTAGGAAGCATCATTCACCTTGTTCTTCTCTTACATCATTTAATCTAGATTTTATTATACTTGGCTGAAATCTACCTCTTCATCTTCATTAATTGATTTAATCAAAAAGGTTTCAATATGTTTTGACATATTGGTCAAACATTGTGACTATCAGTGGGCGTTATTCTGCGAGTCTGTATACCAACAAGTCCCCTCTTACATTGTGGGACAAATTTGTTTTGAGGCAAAACATCCGATCAAAGTTGCTGCCATTACCATTATACCATAGATGCTGAAGCATAATCCATCAATTATACTAGTTATTATAAATCGAAACGTTCTAGAATCAAGAGGATAGCCATCCCTCATAAAAATGCTACTACATCTACTAATTGTGTAACTCACAAAATGTGGAATACACCAACAACAATTTTATACAAGGCTTTTATCCAAGCGAAACACCTATTGGCGGTTGCTATAAGAAGTATCTAATCATGACACTGTATAATCTTCAAGAGCTACAGCAAGTGTATCCGTTTCAGGACTTGCTCAAAGCAGAATATTATCTCATTGGGCAACTCTTTTCTTGTGAAATGAACCAGAACTTCAGCCCTTGATGGTTGAAACACTTCTGTCAGATCCCTGCCAATGAATAGCTAGAAGCTTAATAGGATAACGGCTAATAAAGTCTCTAAAACTGCTTGATAGGATAACTGCTACTCCAACATAGTCAACACTCAAAAATTAAAGAACTAAATGATTCCATGAGCCCCTCATACAATAATAAAACGTACTCCATAGAGGATAAGAATGTCAATAACATTCGTTTATAGTCAACTGTTTCTCTTTGGAGAAAAGAACATGTTGGACCAAAAAAGAGAAAAGAGCATGCGAGCGTCAATATCCGGATTGTGAAGACAGTAGCGAACAAGAGAAAAAAAACTACTTATTGAAATTAGTCGATTAACTGAAGCTCCTTATATAGGATTTTGTGCTATGAATAACAGTAGGTAATCATCTTTACATTTTAAAAGGCAAGAAATTATTCGATACCTAAACAGAGGATGTCCAAAAGTATCCTATAGAATATTTATAGTATGTTCTTTATTTGAGTTATCTATTGTCTCTACTGTTCTTATTTGAGTTCAATGCATCTAAATAGTATAACTACTTCTCGAGACATTCAACACACCCTTTCAAACTCATAGTGGGAAAAAATCAGCTTGACTTTGCTTATTTTGAAAACTTAAAAGGTTGCCGCCAAAATTTCGTTGGGATTATGCCAATCATCAAAAGGAAAAGTCGTACTGGAATTCTTTGCTCGGATGTGTCGGCTGGTTGTTGGCAACTGCACAATGACAGAAAGTGATTTTTGTACTGCACATGGAAATCAGCTTATTCGGAGTCACTAGAAAAAGGTATGGTTTTGCAAAATCTCTGACTCTATTAATGTAATTTGAAGGTGGCGAAACAATGACAAGATAAGCAAAATTTAGAGTGGCGTTGGTTCGCACAGAGCACGACGCTAATACAGTTATCGAACAGATGAAAAGGTGCCAATAGCTAAGAGAGGAAAGCCGGTTGCCAGAAAGAGGCAATGCAAAAAGAAAATAATTAGCCTGGTAAGCGGATGCCCATTGCTAAGCAGAAATTGCTCAAGAGCCTACCTATGTCGTATAGACTCTTATACCATGAGAAAAAAAAGAAGGTAGAACAATCATTGAAAAGAAGAGTGCCACCAATTGATGAGAGAGGAAGGTCGGCTGCCGGAGAGGGGCGGGGTTGGATGCCGAAAAGAAATTAAGACCAAAAATATCAGCTGGGCACATTGCCACCGGTAGCAGAAGCTACTTAAATCTTTACCGAGATTGTAAAGACTCTGATACTATGCGAATCAAAATTGATAGGTAAAGAAGTGCCCAAAACTATACAAAGAAACTTGCATAACTCATACTCTCAAACAATATGGGAATTTTTAACACCCTGTGCATGCCAGGCTGGACACCAGAGCATGGATAGCATAAGAAAAGAGCCCAACATTGGAAACCCACCATGAGAAAGCACTCCCCCCCCCCCCCCCCCTTCTAGAGTCCTAGTTTATATAGACCTACTTTTTTTATGTGCTATATTAACCTCCATTTACCTATAGAAAAGACAAATAGAGATAATACCATTGCATTATATCTAGGAAAAAGCTAAATAGCATCAGCAACTTTGATCCCCGCATTCTTGTCCCACTGCTCTGGTGCAGAAACATCTGCCATGATCTGCTCTTGCCCACGCCAAAGAATCTGAAATCCAACAATAGGCATTACTTAGAAAAGCACCTGTTAAACCTTAAGGTAAGAACAAATTGAATAGAGAGATATTTATTAATCTTGAATAACTTCACAAGACATTTAAGATATGACATAGTTGACATGATAAGTTATTTACCTTATCAATGACGCCAAATTCCCTTGCTCTGGTAGCATCCATGTAAAATGGTCTTCTCATCACATTGGCAACAGTTTCTTCAGACTGGTAAGATACAAAAGATGCTATTATGGCTTCTGCTTGAATTACAAATGGACAAAAGGTAAGATATGGTCCCTACTCACATTTTCAGTGTGTTTTGCCAAAAGCTTGACAAGGGTGTCTCTGTTTATGATTACCTGCAAAAGAATTAGTCAGCAGATTAATCCCATTAGACCAAGTAAGAGCAAATGCCTAAATAAGAGAGCTCGGGATGAGTTCATCCAGGGATAATTCAGTTTTAGAAGGAATTTTTTAATGAAGAGTTTTAAATGGATTTATTTTGAAATATGTCCATCCTGTAGTGATTGTCTTTATACAATGATATTTTTCCCTAGAAGGAGGTTTACTTAGTTATGCTAAACAGAAGGGAAGTCGAAGCAATTCAGCTAAATTTTAAACGAAAAACAAAATTATAGAATATTAAATAATTTATTGATCAATAATTTCATCGACAACCATCGTACTACAATAACATTAAACACTCTAAAAATCACTACCATGAAAGCAGATCTGTTTGTAGATTAATGAAATATACTAAAAGAGGACATCCCACTAACCTCCTTTGCTCGGATGAAAACGTCGCTGGCCGGCATTAATCCAGATGACGGCACACGGGGTTGTTGAATCATAGCTGGAACAGAACATCAACCAAATATCAGAAATTAAAAGGGTTAAATATATATATATATATATATATATATATATATATATATATATATAAAAGAAAAAAAAAAAAAAAAACAGGTTGTCAAAATTGTAAACAAAGAACAAGAAAACTTGACACCCATGTGGTCAATATTGGAAGCAAAGAACAAGAAAACTTGATACCTTTGGCATGTGGCATCATAAACCTTTTGCCCTTACTACCAGCTGCAAGCAAGAGACACGCCTGACCGATGGCAGCACCAACTGCGACAGTGTGTATCTGCACAGGAGATTAACAACTTGACATATGCCAACAAAATCATAAAAGGAACAGATTGAAATATGCTTTAAGTAGAACATGAAATTCAAATATCAATGTACTTCCTCTCAATAATAGACGCCTAGAGATCAAGAAAAACCACTAACTAAACGAACATTGTCTAATTACGTTCGACCCAAGTACTGACTTTGAACGAAGCCAAACTCTCATGCAGATACAGGACGATCATACAAATAAAAAGAAAAAAGTAATTCTTTGCTAGACAAATTTCAAGCGCAAACCATATGAATGGTGATGCAAGGCAAAAAAGAAAACCAACTTATTTTTCAAGAAAATCAGATGTCAATAAGCCAATGTTGCCTTGTCCTTGTCTAGTAAATTTGACTAAAGAAAAGAAGGCCCACATAAGAAACAATTCTAGGTTATCATGCTAATTCAAATGGACACCTCATAGCAAGAACTAGTTGCTGGTGCATAGAGGAGTTGAGTAATTCATGAGAAGCTTACCTCGTTTTTTAATTGCATCATGGCATCATAAATTGCAAAACCTTCTGTTTCCATACCAACCTAGATTGATAAAAATATCCCAAGATCAGTTAATTAGAGCACAATATCAACCCAATACCCAACAACCATCAAGCACACAGACCAAGCAAACATGAAATTTAGAGTGAGAAGAAGTCATCAATCGTGCAATAAAGCTACTAAGTTTAGCATCCCATGGACAGAAGAGCAATAAATATTGAAAATGGCAAATTATTAATTTCTTTATGTTTACACACTATCCCAACCACGTGACATTCACTATTGTAAGATTAATTAGATACAACACAAAGTAACTACATGTTCCTGTCCATCATGGTTGCAATTTTGAAACCTCTCAGAAATAGAGAGACAATTATCCATTCCTATTTACACAAAACATATTACAAGAAAACCACCTATATTTCGTGTAAGTTGTTCGTCCAGTATAAATATAAAAATCAAACCAGATTGAGGCCAAGTGACTATAAAGAAAGGGTATAGGCTAACTTTACTCTTTTCCATATTTATTTTTCCTTCAATAAGAGTTCATAATTGTGGACCATCAATATAAATTGTGACCATTTTTTTTTGCCTCATATAATGAAGGCACTCCTTGCTCATTTTCTGTTTTATAGCACAACTTTGAAGTAGTGATCAACAAACGACAACATAAAGTGTGAGGCACAAAACTTTTGAGTAAGCAAAACCCCAGTCCTTGAGGTAACACATTAGTGAATTACGGCATGTTATATTCCGTCATCATAAGAAGGTGTTTCATTCATATTGTCGACCATTAACCTAAGAATGGGAAAACCATGAGTCAATTATAACCTTGTAAAATGTTATTAAACATCATTAAATCATCAAGTGTCATCCAGGAAATTATAGAAAAACACATTTGATAGCTCAAAGTTGGTCAAAGTGCACGTAGAACCACTTTATCATATCAAGGAACCATATACAGTAACAGCCACTAGGAAAATAATTGATCAGAACACACACTGTTTTATTGCATTACCTAGCACCATTGCCACAAAGGGGAGACATAAAGACAAGGCGGGGG